TATAGTTTTCTTTTTTTTGGTAGTGGGAGGTCCCTGCAGGGCTCCTGCCCTCCGTCTCAAGCACCCTAGTCTGAACAAAGGTACTGCCATCTGCTCTCTGCCGCCCTCAGCAGTGCAGAACCTACATGCCTTGTGGGGGGAAGAGGGGGGCGCCTGAAAAGGAAGCGAAACACCCACCCTTTGCAGGAGCGGCCTCTCTCCTGTGGCACTCAGTCCTGGAGCTCCGTGAGGTGGTTCCCAGAGCCTGTGGGACAGGCCGGAGGCAGGGGCTGTGCAGCTAGACACTGTTCTCACGGTTCCCCAAGAGCCTGGGCACGATGGACCTCCAGGGCAAGGTCAAAGCAATGACGCAGTCCCTGGTGCTGGACGATGGCCACCGGGCTGCCACCACGCCCTGCCGCCAAGGTCCACAGGCTTCACCGACAGCCTGGAAGAATGTGCTTGACTGACAGGCCTGTGCCTGGGCCCCAGCGGCCAGGGAGGCTGGCAAAGCCCCTCCTTGAGGGCCAGACCCAATGAGCAGGCCCTGGCCAAAGGAGCCTTCAGAATCCACTGTGGGGATGGGCACACTGGGCCTGTCTCACAAACAGGGTGTTTCAGGACATTGCCTGGGTCAGCACTGAGGCTGCAGAACAAGCTCGGGAGTGTGGTCAGCTCCAGCGCACCCCCTGGGGTCCTCCTCCCAGGGGTTCTCGAGGTTTCGCCTGAGACCCCTTCACACCCACCATCCAGCTGCGTGTGCCTCGGGAGAGACCGAGGGGCTTCCTTCTTCATATGTGCATCAGTGTAGACTACCTCTATAGAGCCCCGGCGGCTGCCAACCATTAGGTGTTGAGGTGCTCCAAGAGGGTTTGGAGGTTTGAGCCCACCCAGGGGGTCTCAGAGGATGGCCTTGCAAGCTGTTGTTGTTATTGCTGTTGTGAGGTTCTGACTCATAGAGACCCGTGTACAACAGGATGAAACACTGCCCAGTCCCATGCCAACCTACTCCCCTCCCTAAAAATGAGCTACTGAAAACCCCACAGGAAAAAAAAAATTAAAAAGAAAACCCCACAGGGCCCAGGTCGACTCTGGCCCATGTAGGGTCCCCCGAGGGCCCCCATCCTCTGAGAAACACTAAATCCACCCCCCTTCAGAACAAACAAGCCACTGCCACCGAGTCTATTCCAACATGGAGAGACAGGATAGACGGTTTCTGAGGCTATCAATCTCTATAGGCGCAGACAGCCTCATCTTTCTCCCTCTGAGAGGCTGGTGGGTTAGAACCACTGACCTTGAGATTAGCAGTCCGATACTTACTGGCCAGATCCGCCGAGACTCCTTCTGAGGAACGTGGAGGGACGCGTATGAAACTCACGTATGTCAAGAGCACACGTTAAGTTTTTGGATATTTTGCTCTTTGGCCATATGCAGGGTGAGAGTGTGTGCCTCTTTTCTGGTTTGGCTGATGAGAAGCCTAGGACCATGCCTAAAAACCCAACAAGATCCGTCGCCGAAGCCCCGGGGACCGGCCTGAAGTGTCCCTTTATCCGAGGGGGCCCTAACTCTGTATGTAACCCTCCTCTGGTCTCCCATGGATTTCTTCCTGGTGTCAGTATGCCTCTCCTTCTCTGTGACCCCCCAGTCCCTCCATGAATCAGGATGGTATGAGATTGTGCGTCTGTCTCCAAGCCTACAGTCCCCCCGGGGGATGGACTCCTTGGCCATCACTGCCCCGGCGTCCAGAGTGAGCCGGGAAGCATTGCCTGGTGCACTGAGCAGAGGTGAGGGGCAGGGATGGCAAGCTAAGCACTGTGCTCAGGGACACTCTGTGGGAAGGAGCCCCAGCCAGTCCTGTCTGCCCCACACAAGTGCCCAGATGGCCCAGGTCCAGTCTGTGGGGACAGGTTCACCTGCAGGATGACACTGCCATCTCTGTCACAAGAGGCCCTGGTGCCCTGGAACCTGGCTTTGCCCAACCACCCATATGGACTTAGACTGGAAAAGCTCTAGAGGCTGTGGGGCCCGTGGGTGGTGACTTCAGCCACAGCCCGGCCACCTTACTGAATCCTGCCTAGCCTTTGTGGCCCAACGCCTGCCCCCTCACCTCTGGGAGCTGCCCCTGACCTCCCTCCTCCCTCTTCACCCTCTTCTGGCCTTGAGCAGACAGTGACAGGGGCTGCGTTCTGCTTCCCTCCACTGGCCCCCAGCCCCACAGAGGCCGGGGACCCGTGTCTCTCTCTCTCCTCCACGGCGGCCAGCACACAGAAGGGCCGGCCAGTTCCCCTGATCCACCACTCAACTGTGACAGCTAGCTGTGCCCCCAGCCGCCCCCAGCAGCATTCTGAGGTGTGGAAACCTCATCTCTCCAGTGCCCCCACCCCAGCACCCCCATGGCGCACACAGGCAGCTTCCCTGCACAGCACAGCTGCTTCGCTCCTCCATCCCATGGCTCAGCCTTAGTCACCCTTCCTGAAGGGCCCTCCAGGCATCCCCTCACTGGGGGGGTGGGGAGGGGGGCAGCAGTGATTAAAGCCCTCTGTCGGCCAACACTGTCGCTCAGAGACCTGCCCCCAGGCATTTCCT